TCTTGCTTTTTCTCCCTCCCCTTCTAGCCCCCCTCCTGGTCCCGGACCTGAGGACGGAACCCAGGGCCTAGGACTTGCTAAGGAAACCTTTTACCTACCACTGAGCTAAATCCTCAACAAGTCGTTTGGGGTTCGGTTTTTTATTTGTTTTTATTTTTATTATTTATTTAGTTATTTATTTATTTGGTTTTCTTTTTCTCTTTTCAAAACAGGGTTTCTCAGTGTAATGGCCCTGGCCTCACTCATGCTATAAACAAGTGCCCTACTCTTAGCCACACTCCTTTCCTCCCGCCCTCTTCTGCCTTTCGTTTCTAGATGTGACCTTATACGTGTATCTCACACTGGCCTTAAATTCTTGACCCTCCTATCTCATTGTTCTGAGTGCTAGGTGTACAGGCATCTGCTATTTGTGCTCAGTTTCTTTTTTCTTTTTTATTAAAACAATTTGAGCAAGAAAAGTAACCCTAGGATAGATTACCTTCTGGAATGGACTATGATTTTTGGTATAAGAAAAGTCCAATACAGAGGCCTTTACAGTTGTCTAGGTTAGAAATGAGTATGAAATAGGGCAAGAAAAAGCAAATAGTAGGGGTATGGCTTTTCTAGCCCCTTTTATTTTTATTTATTTTGTGTATATGGGTGTCTTACCTGCATGCATATATGTTCACCAAGTACATATTTGGTGCCTGTGGAGGTCAGAACATAGCACCAGATTCCCTAGAACTGGAGTAACATTTGGTTGTGAGCCACCATATGAGTGGTGGGAATCAAGCCAGGGTCCTCTGCAAAAGCAACAAGTACTATTAACCACTGAGCCATCTCTCTAACCCCATGTCTGTCTCCTTTAAAGAACCTCAGAGTTCATTTGTAAATGGATAATCTTGTTACCTTGTAAGACTTGAGTACTGGAAGTACAGACATAATATAGAAACACATTTTTTTAACCATTGGAGTCTGTTGAGGAGTAATATAATTTATATTAATAAAAATTTTTTCAAAGGTTAAACTTAAGATAGTCTGCTACACTGTGATGTTTATGAAGATTTAACATAAAAGTTGTGTGAACTTGGAGGAGTGCGTTCTGTGCTTGAGGCAGCATATAATTTGTTATTCCCTTTTTAAGCTTCTAATCAACAAACTTGAATGTTTGGTTAAACTGAACAGCAGAGTAAGAAGAAGTAGATAAGCTCCCTTCAATATAGGTCATACAAGACAAGGAACAACATGGGTAGGGCAAATTGAATGTCATGAATGAGGTTTTTTTCCAACTAGGGAAAATTTCCCTTATTTAGAATTAAAAGCTTTACTTTTTTTTTCTTTTAAGAAGCTTTACCTTTAAGATGAATTTATATAAAAATGGATGAGTAAATTATAGTGTATGATACATAAAAAGCCAAGCATACATAACTAAGATGGAAATGGCAGTGATGGCTAGAAGAAGAGCTAGAATGCCCTGGAGACAAAAAGAGCAGCACTGTCATGTGTCCACCACAGGTATGCTGTGTGGTGGGAGATGGAGACAACGTAATGTGCTGTTAAAACTGCACTGTGCAGATAGGCTGCCATCTGTCTGGATGGGGTTTATCTGTGTTGTCCTTCCTGGCAGTCCTAGAAATTGCCGTTTAGACCAGGCTGACCTTGAACTCAGAGATCTGCCTCTGCTGCCTCCTGAGTGCTAGGATTAAAGGCATGCCCTACATGCCTGACTTGAGCTAGCTATCTAGTTATTAAATGGCTATTTACCAGAAAGAAGAGAGAAAAAGACCTCGCTGGGCAGAAAGGAAAGAGCAGGCAGAGACGGGTCCAGTGCAATATATTAAATGTTCTCGTGCAAGGTTACACCTGCAGTTGAGAATGCTGAGCTGTACTTGAAGTCAGCGGGCTCCTCTGCCTCCAACAGATAGAAGCTAAGGTTTGGAGATGTCAAGTTCGTCCATGTCATGCAGTGTGAATCAGCACAGAGAAGGTGCCCTAGAACAAGAGTTTCAAGTCCTGTGCTCTGAGTAACTCTGTGTCATAGAGTCATCAGTGTTGGGGTTATTTTACTTCCTTGGAACCAAATTCCATTCCTAAAATTGGCTTCCCATTTTTGCTGTGCCCGTCTGTGGTCTCTGTATGCAATGCTTTATTGTCATTCCTTGAAAATTTGAGGGCTGTCTGCTCACTGCCTGGTGAAAAGATGCCAAATCTGCCAGGAAAAACAAAACAAAACAAAAAAACTGGGTATGTGAAGTCTGAAACTACAGCAGATACAGGGTTTCTCTGTGTAGCCCTGGATATCCTGGAACTCACTCTGTAGACCAGGCTAACCTCGAACTCAGAAATCTGCCTATCTCTGCCGAGGATTGGATTAAAAATGTACACCACCACCACCAGGCAGCAGATACCTTTATACCCTGGTCTTGTAGACATGGAACAGGCAGAGAACCCTTGCCTAGGTTTGACAGTGAAGGAATGAAAATAAATCAAAAATACTGTTTAGAATTATGCTAACTTTTTGCATTAAGAAGGAAAGAAAAAGAAAGCTTGGGTTTGGAAGATACAGCTCACTGGTGAAACATGAGTTTACAAAATGCTGGGTTCAATTCCTAGCACTCTTACACACAAAATCATCTAATAATCGCTTGAACCTTGTGAAGTAGGAATGGGTTACTAAGTGTTTGTTGGTACTTTACTTAATTTGTATCTTCAGAATTTGACTTATTATTTTTCAGGGGCCATCTGTACCTTTTGATTTAACACAAAATAGCAAGCAAGCCACTTTTTTTTTCTAAGACACATTGTTTAGTAGCTGTTTTTCCTGCTAGCTGAGGTAAATTTGCTCAGAACTCCTACAGGATATGAATCATTGTATTCACACATTGACCTAGTCTCACTTTGTTCTTTCTGAGAATATTAAGCCTATTATGTCACAGGAGATAATATTGTCATTTATATCTGCAGTGTAATTCTTAAATCAATCTGAAGATGTAAATTGCTATAATGAACATCTTTGCATATATTAATAAACAAGAAAACTATAGACTAAATCAGGAAAAACTTGCTAGCACTTAAAAAAGTTGTTTGAGGTCTTTCGATATTAGAGAAAAGTATAAACTACAGGACTATAAAGCACAGGTGGCAGTAAACATGCAGTCATTGATGTGTTTGTGGACTGGTGAGGTGGTGCAGATCTCAGATGATTGAAATCTCAGATTGCTCTTTCATAAGACCCGAGTTCAATTTCCAGCACCCACATTAGGTGGCTCACACCTGCCTGCAGCTCCCAACTCCAGGGGATCTGACATGTCTGACCTCCACAGGCACCTATCTGCCTTTGTGTGCACATGCCCACACATGTACACATAATTAGAAATAAAACAAATATTTTTAATTAAAAAAATATATTTATTTATTATGTATACAATATTCTGTCTGTGTGTATGCCTGCAGGCCAGAAGAGGGCACCAGACCTCATTACAGATGTTTGTGAGCCACCATGTGATTGCTGGGAATTGAACTCAGGACCTTTGGAAGAGCAGGTGATGCTCCTAACCGCTGAGCCATCTCTCCAGCCCCCAACAAATCTTTTTTTAAAAAAACTGTGTTTGTTTCAACAGCGCAGTGGTGGCATGCGCCTTTAATCCCAGCACTCGGGAGACAGGCAGGCAAAGCTCTGAGTTTGAGACCAGCCTCAGTCTATAGAGCAGGTTCCAGTACAGCCAGGACTACAGAGAGAAACCCCGTCTCAAAATACCAAAAACAGCAACAACACAAAAACCTGTGTTCCTCTAAATTGCTTTTTTAAATTTAATTAATTGTATAGTGCCTGTGATTGAACTCAGGGCCTTGCACATACTAGGCAAATGTTTTGCTGAGCTACATACAGCCCTTTAATTTTATTTTAAGCAAATGTCCACTTGTAAGGACAATCTAAGCATTTCTTTGACATTATTAAGATTTACTTAGAGGCCAAGTGGTGGTGTCACACGCCTGTAATCCCAGCATTTAGGAGGCAGAGGCAGGTGGATCTCAGTGAGTTCGAGGCCAGCCTGGTCTATGAAAGTGAGTTCTAAGCCAGCCATATTACACAGAGAAACCCTACTAGGCCAGCCATATTACAAAGAGAAACCCTATCTTGAAAAACAAACAAAGAATTAATTAGAAAGACTGATAGTTTTAAATATATTGGATTATTTATGGGGAAGTAATTCTTTTTTTAAATATTTATTTCTTTATTATATATACAATATTCTGTCTGTGTGTATGCCTGCAGGCCAGAAGAGGGCACCAGACCCCATTACAGATGGTTGTGAGCCACCATGTGGTTGCTGGGAATTGAACTCAGGACCTTTGGAAGAGCAGGCAATGCTCTTAACCGCTGAGCCATCTCTCCAGCCCCGGGGAAGTAATTCTTAGCAAATAAACAGGAATTATGAGAAGATCAGACTGCCTCTGCCTCCCCAGTGCTGGGATTAAAGACTTGTGCCACCACCGTCCAGCAAAAATAAATCTTTTAAAAAAGAAAGAAAACCAAAAACGAGCTTTCGAGAGGTGAAGATGACTGTAATCTATGGAGAGCTGTTGTTTCCAGCTGTGATCAGGCCAGCCCCACTGTGGATCTTAAATGAAAGCACATATGTGCTTTAGTTTCTGCTGTAACTCTTTATTTTACGACCGCTTCGTCTTTTCATGTAAACAAATTCGATCTCTCCAAATATAGCAAACCATTAAAAAGAAATTGTTGTATACCCTGTTATTTGTGATACTGCTTCTGAAGCAGCTTAAACTGACTGAATAAATGCTAGAAATTCAGACTGAGAATATGCCCTTCTGTTTTCAGGAAGTAACTTTTTTTCACAAGAAGAGTTGGTACAGTTAGTTTACTTGTGGGGGGTGTCTGTCTGTGTGGTCTTTGCATCTTGTATGGTGTACCAAGCAGTAGAAGCTCTGATGAACAACACCTGTCTTTGTCAGCTCAGTCTCACCTTGCTGCTGTCTCTTCTTGCTTCCTTCCCCAGTTATGCTGTTATTGCCTATGGCTGTGCCAGCTGCCCAAAACTAACCTGTGAGAGGGAAGGCTGCCAGACTGAGTTCTGCTACCACTGTAAGCAGATATGGCATCCAAACCAGACCTGCGATATGGCCCGTCAGCAGAGAGCTCAGACTTTACGAGTTCGGACGAAGCACACTTCAGGTCTCAGCTATGGGCAAGAGTCTGGACCAGGTATAAGCTGGCATTATTTCATTGTCTCCTTATTGGTATCTATAATGTGCGTCCAGATCTAAGAGAGATTGTCTCACTGTATAATCATGTATCCTCGAGATCAAAGAACAGAAAATATTTGGTTCTTCTTCTGAATAGCTGAGACTACAGACATATTTCCTGGCTTGGTTACATGTTTAATGATACATCTGCTGTGTTGCTTCTTGTTGACCATGATAGGTAATCCTAGCTATGTAAAATTGGAATACAACAAAATGGAACTTTCAAGTTGCTGTCTTAGTGTTTGTCTCAGCTTGGAGAGCTCTTTGTTTTTTTTCCATGAAGGACAGAGAACCATTTAATTAGTGTTAAGCCTGTCCTGCTTGTCGTCTAGCTTGAAGTGCGTCACAGCTTTTTGAAGTAGGGCACAGATTTAAGAAAAGAAAATAAACACTGTTTAGGTTAATGATTAACCTGAAAGGGGAAATGTCTCAGTCACCCTCCACTTTGATTATTAAGAGCAATCTTTAAAATGTCAGCATCTTTTAGATGTACTTTGTTTTAACTGATGTCATTTGAGCAGGTTAGTAGGAGACAAATTATGCCATTTCCTAACACAACACAATCTCTGAAATGGTCACTTTGACAGGACAGTTTGTAAATGCTTATGAAAATCACCAGGTGCATGCTATATAAATGCTCAGGTGGTTTCTGATTTTTAAATTTGAAAATGTCATGGGAAGGAATTGTAAACAGTTAACAGCAAAAGTTAGTTTGCTAAAGAACCGTTGTCAAAACTTAAAGCTGACCGGACTGCGGAATTTTTTTACTAAAATTGCCTGTTTTTAATCTGTCAGCCACTGACTGGTAGAAATTCCATTTGCCTTGGAACCACTAGTCTGTCTAGGGGCGTCTCCATGCCCTGCTGTGACTCAAGTGCTGTGTAAGATGTCAGTTACAGGAATAGGCAGCCTAACGTGAAACCAGACTTATTTTATGAGAATTCCTGAGTGTGGGGAGCAGCCCACTTGGTAGAATGCTCACTTACTGCATGCACTAAGCCCTGAGATGATCTTCAGCACCATAGAAGTCAGTCATGGTGGCACATGCCTGCAATCCCTGGACTGGACGATAAAGGCAGAGGGTCATAAATTCAAGATCGTCTTCAGCAATTTCAAGGCAGCCAGAGATACATGAGACCCTGTTCCTAAAACAAGCACACACAAAAGTGTTCTGGACATTTATAGTCAGCCCTTCAGGAAAGTGTCATACAATTTGGAATCTGCCGGCACAGTCTCCTGACTGCCTTGTCGTCATTTTTAGCGTACACTCTTAGTATTGACTAGTAAAGTCAGACTAGATTTAACTGGGGGTGTTTTTCTCCCTATCTTTCCTCCCCTACCTTGTAGATGACATCAAACCATGCCCACGATGTAGTGCTTACATTATCAAAATGAATGATGGAAGCTGTAATCACATGACCTGTGCGGTATGTGGCTGTGAATTCTGCTGGCTCTGCATGAAAGAGATCTCCGACTTGCATTACCTCAGGTAAGGTGGGCCGTGTATCCATCGCTCTTGTCATCCTATTCTCTTGCTCGTTTAGGGTACAGGATACCAAAGAGCCATAGTTGATCTCATTCACAGAAAAACGAAACTGTGAGAAGTCCCTTTAAAGCTCACCTCTGGTGTTTTCTCCAGCAGCCTTGGCTGTCTGTCTTCACTACCTTGCTCTCTTACCTGCTGCATGACTTTTAGGGCTTTCTACAGTCTGGTAGGTCATGCTGTTTAAATAATCTGAGCTTGCTGTTCCCTGTGTCTCTTCCTCCATGTTTGTTCATGTTACCTTTTTGGTTACAGTTACTTTCTGACCACTTCGGCCTCCTTGTGTCACCCTTTACCTCAGTGTGTTCAGTTTCTGATGTTTAGGTTTACTGTTTTATTTTTTAAAGTTATTTCTTTTGTGTGTGTATGCACTTGTGTGCACCATACTGTAATACATGTAGAGGCCTGAGTACAACTTGTGGGGTCATGTGACTTCTGAAGGTTGAGCTTAAGTCATCAGGCTTGAAAGCAAGAGCCTTTACCCACTGAGCTGTCTTGGCCCTCCTATTCCCTCCCCCCCGCCTCTATTTTTTTTGAGACAGGGTCTCAGTGGCCTGTAGCTCTGGCCCAGAACTCCCTATGTAGACCAGGACTCACACTCACAGAGATCTGCCTGTGTCTGTGCCCTGTTTAAAGGTGTGCACTACACAAAGGTGTAGCCTTTGTTTGTTTTTTGAAACGGGTTGGCTGATTTTGTCTTGAACTTGACATAATTCAGCTTCCTCAGTAGACATGTGTCACTAGGCTTGGTTTGCAAAGCTTTTACTTGTTTTGAAAGCAACTTAAATGCCACGTCATCTACCAGCTTTCCAATTTCTGCTGTGTCCTTCAGTGCCATTCCTTTCTCTCTTTGCCGTAAGCGTTGATTTACAACACTTTTTGCTGTACGTGTTGCTACTTCTTGGTACTTCATGGACATATCTAATCTAATTAACTGATCTTTTTACAGTTCTTTCCACATAGTAAGTTTCTAAAGGATTGAGTGACTATGACCCTACATGAGTTAGCATTTAGTAACATCATTGTGTAGCATTCACTGTGAGATGAGACACATCATTTCCAGTTTGGTGAAAATTAAAAGGCTTATATATAGCAGTCATTGACTAGAGACACAGGACTGAATAAGACAGGATTTCTACTTTTTAACATTGTTAGCCTTATCAAGTAGAGACGATAACACAAAGGGAATGAGGTAAAGAATCAGACAAAGAAAGGCAAGGGTCAAAGTAGCCATACTCAGAGTTACAAACTCATAGGAAGGGCATGATGAGTCACTAACTCTTTCCCTAGGGACCTGGTTTGTATCTGTTAGGTATGGTGGGACATGTGCTACAAAACTGCAGTCTGTCCTGAGCTGCAGGACACAGCATATTGGCTTAGATATCAAGTGCATAAGCTGTACAGTCAGGGGAATTGTGTCCGTGTTGTAAGGAAAATGTAGATAATGTACAGGGAAGACACAGCAGAGAAGAAAGAAAAGGACTTTCAATTTTGGAGGTCTTCCTTTACCAAAAACCCCACAAAGTCTGGAATGCCTTGCCTTTGTTCCCTTTTATCTAATAGATCTTATCTAATAGATTTGTTTTCTGCTGCCTCCTGTCACTTAATCACTCTTATTGAAAAGATGGGTGTTGTTCTTATCAAGCTCTCTGATGACAGTAGCTGTGTCTGTGGTGCTGACATTAACCTCAGCTTGTTTCCTCTGTAGTCCCTCTGGTTGTACATTCTGGGGCAAGAAGCCATGGAGCCGGAAGAAGAAGATTCTTTGGCAATTGGGCACATTGATCGGTGCTCCAGTAGGGATCTCACTCATTGCTGGCATTGCAATTCCTGCCATGGTCATTGGCATTCCTGTTTACGTTGGGAGGAAGGTAAGACATACCTTTCTAGGCCTGCTACAGCTTTGACTTTGTTGGCAACGATTTGAAGGAAAAGGAAAGGAACTTATATTTCAGGGCTGCGCGAAAACCAGCTGGTTTGTAGATAAAAATAACTTTAATTTCTTAAATGGATTTTTATAAACCCTCATGAGATCTGAAAGTTCTTATTAACATCCTAGGCCTGGTTTGTTTCAGTGACTTAAGGTGAAATGCTTTGCTTCATTTCCCTGAGCTGCTTTGTCTTTTCATGGATTAACTTTCCTGCATTCGTTTATATTTTCCAGGTCTGGGTTAGGTTGAAATTTGAGAAAGATTCCTCTTTGGGTGGAGGGTATGTTTTAATATAACTTGCAAATGAACATTTGTCCTTTTTTTTTTCCCTGGCAAAATACTGATGTCCTGACCTGCTGACCTGGATTTTCTTTTTATTCTTAGATTCACAGCAGATATGAGGGAAGAAAAACCTCCAAACACAAGAGGAATTTGGCCATCACAGGAGGAGTGACCTTGTCAGTCATTGCATCCCCAGTGATTGCGGCTGTTAGCGTTGGTAAGCTAGTGGGGCCTACAGCTCCCTGTTAGCTTACTGTAGCACGTCAGCCAGCTAGCCAGGTGCTTTATTGTGGAGATACCTTTTTGTGTGTTCATGTATGTGGTGTCAAGGCAGGGGCACTTGTGTGAATGTGGGAATGTTGGAAGCCAGAGACCAACTTCAGGTGCCATTCTTAAGAGCCATCTACCTAGTTTTTGATATAGGGCAGGGTCTCTTACAGGCTAGGAGCTTGTCAAATTAGTTGCCCAACAAGACCCAGGAAACCACTTGTGCCTGCCTCTCCAGCACCAGATTGTAATTGTACACCACCACTTTTGTCTTTTTACATGGGTTGAACTCGTGTCTTTATGCCTGCAAATAAGCACTTTACCAACTGAGGCATCTCCCCAACCTGGAAATTAAATCTTAATAGACACTGTTACTATGGTGACTTTTCACTACACTGCATTATCAGAGTGTCCTAGGCTAGGGCCTGGAACTCAGCACACAGAAGAGGGTGCATTAAGCAAAAATTAAACACCTTTAATTCTTCTACTTTTCTTCTACTTGTTTGTGATAGGACTCACAAAACCACTTTAATTTTCTGTTAATGCCTCATAATATTTTGAAGGTATGAGAGTTTTAGAAAAATGTTAATCTGCTTTGGTGGTACATCCCTACCATCCTAACACTCAGGTGTTGAAAGATGAGGATCAGGAGTTCAAAGCCACCCTCAGCTACACAGCATGTTCCAAACCAAACTAAGCTACACGAGACCCTGTCTCAGAAAAACAAAAAATTAAAAAAGAAAAAAATCTTTTGTAGCTAGCATTTCATGAGTTTCATCATTTGTCAGTAGTGGTTGTGAATGTCTCACGTGTGACTCTATTCAGCCTTCATTAAGAACCACAAAGACAGCCTAATTAAAGATATAAAATACAGCCTGTATAAGTGGAGCCAAGGTTGAATGCCTGGGACATGAATGCAGACAGTCTTTTTGTTTGCTTTGGTTTTTTTAAGATTGATTTATTTTTTATGTTCATTGGTGTTTTGTATGTGTGTCTGTAGCTGGGCCGTAGTATTACAAGCCTTTAATCCCAGCGCTTGGGAGACAGAAGCAAGTGGATCTCTTATGAGTTTGAGGCAGCCTGGTCTATAGAGTGAGTTCCAGGACAGCCAGGACTGTTACCCAGAGAAAACCTGTCTTTGAAAAAAAAAAGCAGAGGAGGAAGGATGTATGTCTGTCTGTGAAGTTGTCAAATGCCCTGGATCTGGAGTTACAGTTATGAGCTGCCATGTGGGTGTTGGGAATTGAACCTGGGTCCTCTGGAAGAATATCCTGTGCTTTTAACCACTGAGCCATCTCTCTGGCCCAAAATTCAGGCAGTACCTTGTAGCATGTAACAACTGAGCTACTCTGCCACACACAGCAGTGTGATATAGAGAATTCAGTCTGAAGGATCCTTAACCCGTTATCTTTCATTCATTCATCCAGTGTCTGATTTATATAGAGAGAGTATGTGTGTGTTGTCTGTATATGTGCAGGTGCCCATGGAGGACAGACTATGTCATCAGAGCCCCTGGAACTAGAGTTAGACAATTGTGAACTGCTATGTGGGTACTGGGAATCGAACTTGGGTCCGCTAGAAGAACGACTGCTCTTATCCCCCGAGCTGTCTCTCCAGCCTTCAGAGTTTGTGTAGTAGGAGGCCACTTGTTTGTTTCCGGCCTCTCAATCCCAAAATAACCACACAGAAACTGTAGTAATTAAATCACTGCTTGGCCCATTAGCTCTAGCTTCTTATTGGCTAGCTCTTACATCTTAATTTAACCCATTTCTATTAATCTATGTATTGCCATGTGGCTGTGGCTTACTGGCAAGGTTCCGTCTGGTATCTGTCTCTGGCGGGACTATGTGGCTTCTCCTGACTCTACCTTCTTTCTCCTAGCATTCAGCTTAGTGTCCATCCGTCCTACTTCCGTTGCCCTCCCCACCCCTCCCACCCCCACCGCCTACCTCTATTCTGCCCTGAGCAGGTGCAAGACAGCTTCATTATTAACCAATGGTATTCACAGCATACAGAGGGGAATCTCATATTTCCTTCCCTTTTCTGTCTAAATAAAAAGGGAGGTTTTAACTTTAACATAGTAAAATTACATATAACAAAACAGGTATCAAGCAAAAATTGCAGTTAGAATATTTATATCTACTTTATCTTTTATCATAACTAAGGAAAACTATAACTATCTATTCTTCAACTCCAACAAAGACTCCTGAAGGATATAATATTACCTAAGAAAACATTGTAAGGAACTTTAAAAACTCTAGAAATGACAGAGACATTTTGGTGTCTGGACAGTCACCCAAAGTTTTTCTATACCATTGGGGCATCCATCTTTAGCCTATAGGCCCATAGTGTCCCGCAGATTTTTCCACAAAGCAGGAAATTTCAAAGGCAGTTCTGCCTATATTGGCAGTTTGTCAGTCACTCTCTTCTGTATCCTGCAGAATGTCTTGCAGACTCTTTCATGAAGCAGGAACCCCGAAGGACTGTCTCCCTTTCTTTATGCAACTTCAGCAGTCATTTTTCTGTGGGTCCTGCATGTCCAGTTCATACAGCATAATATCAAGCAGTCCAGACAAGAACAGTTTCTTGCCCAAATGGCCAGCAAACTCCATAAGGAGCCTCTTTGGTGCCCATCTTCCTCTTTTTTAAAAAAATATTTATTTATTTATTATGTAAACAATATTCTGTCTGTGTGTATGCTGCAGACCTGAAGAGGGCACCAGACCCCATTACAGATGGTTGTGAACCACCATGTGGTTGCTGGGAATTGAACTCAGGACCTTTGGAAGACAAGGCAATGCTTTTAACCACTGAGCCATCTCTCCAGCCCGCCCATCTTCCTCTTGAAGTTATTGGTCCTGCCAGAAGCAGATGTGTCTCATTGTCATGAAAAGTCTAAGTTATTAAAAACCTTTTAAATGCCTTATTCTGTAGTCTTTGAAAGGTTTGAAGAATAATTATGCATCTGAAATACCTCTGTACATCTAGAAAAACTAACATGACTACAAGCTTGACTATTATAGATGACTATCTATTAACCTGTATTTCTTAATTATACATTACATTTTTAAATGAGCTGTGCAAACACAATACCTTAATCAAGAGCAAAAATATACATGTAACAAAATTAATGTTAAATTTGTATCAGCAAACCAAGATCCATACCAATGCAAAGCATTCATCTCTATATCAAACTTGATTCTTGATTGGTTCTCAGTTTAGCAATGAAGGGGGCGGTATAAAAGCAACATGACCTGTCACATGCTGGATTTTACATGTATATTCTCTTTATTCCTGGGTGGGTTCTATGGACAGACAGACAAAGACATCCAGACCTTTGTGACTCTACATCTACTCTTGTGTTATACCAGGATGCCCACTGTTTGTCTTTTCCCTTTATAGATGTTTGCTTGTGCCCAGTCAGGGAGGGAGAATCAGGGCAATTGCAGCCTACTGACCTGCTGACATGTTTCCATCTCTTTTCCCAGGTATTGGTGTCCCCATTATGCTGGCATATGTTTATGGGGTTGTACCCATTTCTCTCTGTCGTGGAGGTGGCTGTGGAGTTAGCACAGCCAATGGAAAGGGGGTGAAAATTGAGTTTGATGAAGATGATGGTCCAATCACAGGTAAAGGAAGGAATTTTGTTTCCATTTGAATTTATGAAACAAAAGATAAAAGTCTGTAGAATTTAGTACATTTTTACAGACAGATTATCTTTGGATTTTTTTTTTTAGATAATGAGCCTTGTAGGGGGTAAAGTTATTTTTAGCCTTTCATTTCTTGGTTCCAGAATTATTAGGTTAATTCCTCTGGTAGTTGCCTGTTGACTGAGGTTTCTGTCCTACCCGGTTCCCACAGTCGTTAAATCCCAAAGAATCACACAGAGGTCTATATTAGTTATAAACTGATTGGCCTAGTATCTCAGACTTCTTATTAACTCTTATAACTTATATTAGCCCATAATTCTTGTCTGTGTTAGCCATGTGGCTTGGTACCTTTTTTGGCAAGGCAGTCACATCTTGCTTGCTCTGTGTCTGGTTTCCTCTGTCTCTGGGTGATGACTACAGACTGAAACTTTCCTCTTCCCATAATTCTCGTTGCCATGCCTCTACTTCCTTCCTGGTCACCGTCGCCCCGCTTTACTTCCTGCCTGGCTACTGGTCAATCAACATTTTATTAAAAATAATACAAGTGACAGGATAAAAGACCATTGTCCCACAGCAGTTGCCTATATGTGTCAGGGATGAGGCAATAGGACATCTAGTAACTGAGTGTGCTGTGGTGATAAGAAAGCCTTGCGTCTGCAGTGCACTGTCATCTTCCAAGGACTTTGCACAGCTATTATCTTGCTTGCTTTTTACAACAGCACTGTGAAGAGGGAGCCAGGGCTGTCAGCCATTTCACTAGGAACTTCTTTAAGCTTGTGTTTATTAACAAGAACTTCTGCAGACCTGAGGTGAGGACTGGTCTTCTGAGTCCTACTTGAACACTGTTTCTTCACCTACAGAGATGGCCAGAGGTCTCTGAAGCTTCATAGTAAGAGCACACATGAACTAATCATATTTTAAAAGGGCCTGGAAACACTTCTTAGAATCTTAGCACTGAAGAAGCTGAGGCAGAGGAGGTCATGAGTTCAAGGCCAGTCTGGGCCACAGGAGACCCTGTCTCAAATGAGAAAGAAAAACAAGTCAGGTATGGCAGTTGGCACCTGCAATCCTGGCACTTGGGAGACTAAGATTCAAGACCAGCCTAGACTAAATAGTAAGTTCCAGGATAGCCTGAGCAATAGAATGAGACCATGTCTCAAAAACAAAAACAAAAACACAGTGAGGCAGAACTAAGTTAGATAAAAGTAGCTACACTATCATGGAAATAGTAATGGGATTGCAGTTAAAGTTTGGTATGACTTAAGTGATATTGAACAGTCATTAAATTAAAAAAACTTTTTAAATTGGTTTTTCAAGATAGGATTTCTATGGCTGTCCTGGAACTCACTCTGTAGCCCAGACTGGCCTCGAACTCACAGAGATCCACCTCCCTCTGCTTGCCAAGTTCTGGGATTAATAGTGTGTGCCACCTCTGCCTCGCTAATTTCTTATTATTTCCGCATCTTAAAATTCTTATTTCGGCGTCTAAAATAAGGGGTGCTAATCCTTAGTTATTGAAAGGGTTGAATACAAATGTAAACAGTCTGATGTGTAGTATCTCCTTGTTGTTTAAGTGAATATTGTAGTACTTTTCTACATGAAAATTCTCCACTCTAAAGAATCATTGCGGGAAAATGCCTACCAGACTGTTCTGATGCTGTTTCTCAAATGGACACGTTTGGTTCTCCCCACAGTGGCAGATGCCTGGCGGGCCCTCAAGAACCCCAGCATTGGAGAGAGCAGTATTGAAGGCCTGACTAGTGTGCTAAGCACCAGTGGGAGCCCAACAGATGGACTCAGTGTTATGCAAGGCCCTTACAGTGAGACAGCCAGCTTTGCTGCCCTTTCCGGAGGCACCCTGAGTGGCGGTATTCTCTCCAGTGGCAAGGGAAAATACAGCAGGTAAGTAAATAAGTGGTCTGTAACAAGCAGTTGGAATTCCTTAAAAGAAGGGCACACTGAGCCATTTCTCTAAGTCCCACTTTGATTTAATCACCAGTGATATTTTTCTTCTACAAAGGTCACAGTTCTTTGCATTACAGTGGCGTCCATTTCAAGAATGATGTTGACTTTAGATCTTTGACTGCTTCATTAGGCTGCCTGTTCTAGGATGCAGGAAGAGCAGAAGGCTCTCTCAGGCTTGTTGCTGGTTTTATGTTATATCACACTGATTCCTTGTACTGTACTCTTTTTGACCTTCCTGTTTCCACTGGATAGAGTAGGAAAATCAATTCTATAAATTTATATTAGGAATACATAATACGAGCTGAAAAATGGCTCAGCAGTTAAGAGTACTGATTGTTTTTCCACAGGATCCCAGTTCAATTCCCAACACCCAAATGGCAGCTCATACCTGTCTGTAACTCCAGGGGATTGCCCATAAAATAAAGTTAAATAAATTATTTTTTTTTAAAAAAAAAAAAAGAATACTCCTTTATTCCCAGCACTCAGGAGGCAGAGGAAGGTGGATCTCTGTGAGTTCGAGGTCTAACTCAAGAGCTAGTTCAGGACTGGCTCCAAAACAACACAGAGAATCAAGAATCCCTGTCTCAAAACAAACAAACAAACAAACAAACAAACGAAAAAAGAGTATGTGAAGCCTTGTCAATAAAAATAACTGTGATTTACTTGGATTTTGCCATAATGCCATACTATGTATTCAGAGACGCGTGACTGACACTAGACAGAAGCAGGTAGTTCGATGGGGGAAGAGTGGCCTTGTGGAGCACAGCAGGGCAGGAGGTAAGAGAAGGACTTGTCTTCAGGTACCTGGAGGGCCTCCAGCTTGGAAAAGGATTAGTATGCTGACTCATTTTGGCAGAAAGAACCGAAGTGACTGGCAGCAACCTCTACTGGTTTCAGTACAGTGTAGAGTCCACAGGGGAGGCTATGGGAAGCCCCCAGAGAAGGCAGACTGCCTTTCCAGATCCTGAGCCACTTGTCCTGGAAGTTTAGAGCGAGACCAGATGGCCATTTGGCTGCGTAAAAGACTCAAGTGACAGATGGCAAGTGGACTACATCCTTCACCTTGGTGTCCTTTATCCACCTGGGAACCTCTTAAAAATAGATTTTCGGAGCATATTTCCAGAATTAATAACTTAGAATCTCCTGGGGTGGAACTTAAGGGTGGTCTATGTTTAGAAAATAAAGTCTCTCCAGATGATTCTAGTGTAGCCACTGGCATGAACCAGCCTCTGGCAGCCACCAAGTAGGTGACCTGGTGGGCTTTGAGAAAGTTTGTGCCCAGGGAGTGATCTGTGGTCGAGCTGAAGCTGGAACACAGGCCTGAACGCACTCCCCCTCACGTTGCCCTCATTCTTGAAGGGCATCTAAGGCGGAGTGGTAAGGCAGAGAGACAGGCAGCAGGATCTGGAGACTGCTGACCTAGTGTATCTTGTGACTGGTGTCCCTTGTTAGGGGCTCCTGCCCCCACATGCTAGAGTATTCACTACTGTGCTTTCTTAAAGGCGACTCCCCTTGAATGAGCCACAGACATAGTTGGAGCGTGACTTGCTGAGACTGCAGTGCAGCCGGCAGCTGCCGCATCCTGTGAAAGCCTTTTCTTTATGGGAAGTGAATGAGTCAGATGAGCCTGACTGGGAAACCCATTATGAGGAAACACTGAAGTGCAGAACAAAATGGTGTTGAGCCAGAAAGGAAGCAGTTAGGGGTTCCCAGCTTTGAAACATCATTGGGAAAGTGCTCCTGACGAGGAAGAAGGAGGTTGGCTCCTGTGTGCCTTTCATTCTCATAGCCTGGCCGTAACTTGGTTAGTAGGTATTTGAGTTCTTCCTGTTATGTCCAGGGTAGGAAGGGTAAAGTGTGAATGAGGTGCCAGCTCTTCCTTTGTACCACTCGCTGGAGTGGAGAGAGGTGTGTAAGCTGATACAGAAGAAGGTTGGGCACTCAGCTGGACATGTAGGTTGTGGAAAAGACAGGAAATGGTAGTCCTTTGTTGCTAAAGACCTAGCATAAGTTTTTTAGGCAGAGGAAGGGAAACTTTTGAGAGAGAGAGAGCATAGCATCCACGGAGCCACAGAGGTATAAATGCAAATTTAGAGAGTTTGTGATGTCGGACTTAACAATAAGAAAACAAACCTGAGCAGCTCGCAGACCAGGAAGGCCACAGGCACCTGCTGGAAGAAGGGGAGCTACGAGTTAGAGGCTTTTAGGACAGTTGCGTCTTTGCCTGCATTGACACTGCTCTGGAAGGTTGCTTGACTGGAACTTAGGGACTACTGGAGAGGAGCGCAGTGCAATTACCTAGTTAAGGATCTGAAGTTAAATAGTAGAACTGGGGACAGAAGGAGGGGACGATTCAGCTGATATGTAAGGAAGGAACTGTGTAGGCATGGCAAGGATTCTGCAGGTCACCACAGTTCCCAGGAGAATAATGGAAGAGATGTGTGCCAGGAAGCAGACTGCTAGAACACCCAGGTCTCATATTAACTTGAACGTCCCCTCTTTACACAGGTTAGAAGTCCAAGCCGATGTCCAAAAGGAAATTTTCCCCAAAGACACAGCCAGTCTTGGTGCAATTAGTGACAACGCAAGCACTCGTGCTATGGCCGGTTCCATAATCAGTTCCTACAACCCACAGGACAGGTATGTGAACAGTCAGAGCCCAGGACAGGCTTTATTCATTGGGTGCTAGGTCTTCAGAAGATCATTTCCTCATCTGAGGGACCTGTATGTCATCTAGTGGGAGATGAGTGTTGGTGAATCCATTGAGCACTTTTGTGGTACTGGAGCATTTAGCATCTCTTGATTCTTGTTAGCACTTGACTCTTAGAGACTTCCTGCTTTCTTCCCTCCCTGTTTCTCTTCCCATCTCCTCTCTTCTTTTTTCTAGCTATTGTCACAGTCTAATTATTCAATTTGGAACTTAAAGAGCTGGATTGATATTGGCTGGTGTCTTAGTCTAGGGCTTCTGTTGCCCTTTGCTGAATCTGGTTCCATACTCTCTTTGCTTTCATTTGGAACATTGTGTCTGACCTGGTGTGGTTGAGGTCCTCCATACTGCAAAGGTTATGGCTTTTGACTGTGGCACAGTCATTGAAAGCTGCCAAGTTGCTTTCACATTCATATCTGGAGTAAGAGAGGATGAGGTTCTTAGTTGAACTCTGAAGGACTTTTTTAGATATTCTAAGGAGAGGTTTTGAAGAGTGTGTGTGCACATGTAGAAAAGGGAAAAGTACGCTCTGGTCCATTTTGACCCATCTCTTCTAACTACTTAAGCCAGAAACCAGAAACTATTTTGTGAGCAGCTATAACATAACCTAGTATGACTCAGCGCGATGAATTTGTCTCCACAGAGAGTGCAACAATATGGAAATCCAAGTAGACATTGAAGCCAAACCAAGTCACTATCAGCTGGTGAGTGGGAGCAGCACAGAGGACTCGCTCCATGTCCATGCTCAGATGGCAGAGAATGAAGACGGTAATGGTGGTGGTGCTGGTGGTGACACTGGTGGCAGTGGTGGCAGTGAAGAGGATCCCCCTTGCAAACACCAAAGCTGTGAACAGAAAGACTGCCTGGCCAGCAAGGCTTGGGACATCAGCCTGGCCCAGCCTGAAAGCATCCGCAGTGACCTAGAGAGCTCTGACACACAGTCGGATGATGTGCCAGACATCACTTCAGATGAGTGCGGCTCCCCCCGTTCCAATGCTGCAGCCTGCCCCTCGACCCCCAGAGCCCACGGTGCACCAAGCCCAAGTGCCCACAGGAACCTCACTGCTCCAGCGGAGAGCCAGACTGTTCTGAAGCCAGAAGACTGTGAAGTGGAATGAAGGCTCCTGCTCTGAGAAGCACACTTGTTGTAACTGCATCTTTTAGAATCTTTTTTGGGGGAGGGTGGGGATTTATGTATTTTGTTTAAAGATTCTCTGGTCAGGGTTCCCCCAGGGAAGTTCTGAGAAATTTGCAATTTCTTACCAGATAAAAAATGAAATTTTTGCCTCTAATATCCCTCCCCTTATCCCCTTGTTTTTAGTTTTAATTTATTGGTTAAACTGATGTTGGCAATCTGTGAGGTGTGTCAAAGAATGTACATATGTATGTGTGTATATTGTATGTATGCTAACATATTATTGATGACACATTTTAATAAAGACTTCTGTGGTAGTTCACCTCATCTCACTGTCCTTGGCTTGGGTAGTCCTGCAGAGCCAAGTGTTTATTGGAAGAGTAGTCTATCTTTGATATTTTTAGACCTGAGGGGTTTCTGAACCCCAGGGAGAAAGGGTTTTCTATTCTACCCTACTGTACTGACAGGAAGCAAAGCCTGGCTAGCTTGCTGCTGTGTAGTCTCAGGCTGCAGAAAGCCTGGCTGAGGCTGCTGGAGAGGGAGGAGACTGAGCTGACTTGTTGGCCCTCTAGAGGCAGCTCACACTTCTGTTGGGGCCTCACTCACCATCCTTGATAGTCACTGTTAGTCCTTCAGGGTGGCAGTGTGTGGAGAGGGCTTGGTGACCCTTCCAGGACAAGTTAGGGAACAGGGCATTCTTTTCTCTCCCAACCGGGGCGCAAACTCAGGACCTTGTGCGTGCTGTGCAGGTGCTCTACCCTTGAGCTCCATCCCAGCCCCAGGAGCAGATGCTCGCCGGAGGAAGAGATGCGACTGCACGGTTGCCAGGCAGTAGCGTAGGTGTTGGCTGTGCTCTCAGGTATACACTCCCTGCCCCAAAAGCCATGCTCGGTTTTGCCAATCTAGTTTAAGGAAGACCAAGAAATCAGGCCTCTACTGAAAGGAGGCATGCCACCAAAATCTCTGAATCTCATCGTGCCTGCTCTTACACATTTTATCAGAGTTGAGCTGTCAGTAGTAGGAATTTGGGCACTGTCAAGAATAAGGTCCTTGGTCTTGGGGTGCAGTTCAGCGGAAGAATGCCTGCCTAGCGTGCAAGGCCCCGGGGTCAATGCCTAACACCACAAAACAGTAATAGTAATGATAATAAATAATGTCTTTAGAAATGAAAGCTCATACAAAAAGTTACAGGGGAAGTGACCAAGAGACTCAATGCAAGGTTCAAGATCTGACAGCAGTAACCCTTGTGACCGTGTCAGCCGCTTTCTCGTGCTCCCATTTTCCCCCAATCCTTAAACTGTGATGAGGCAGCTTGTCTATCACCTTAGCACCAGGTCCAGGGGAAGAGCCGAAAGCATCTTTGTCTGAGGACCAGCTGCCTTCTGTTTCCATTCGCAGGTGCACCTGAGGCATCCATACGACAGACAGACAGCCGCTGGGGAAGAGCGTACCTCTCAGGCACTGCTACTGGGAACAGGAAATGCTAACGGACTGTGCGTCTCAGTAAGAAAGTGTCCTAGAGAGTGTCCCTATGGGGAAAGGCAGGCAGTTTGGAGACCCCTGAGATGCAAATGATCCATTTAAGATTTGCAGTTCTTCTGAAACTTCACCAAGAAATGCTTAACTTGGATAAAGTCAAAGGCAGTCTGTCAGTGTACGGTCTAGTGCCAAAACCTGTAGTCTCTACCTGAGCTGACCTAAGGCTGTGGAACTGGGCAGCCTCCTCTCTCATGTCTTTTCTCTGAGCCTGGTTCTGAGGCCGCAGGGTTAAGATGCTGTACCAAAAATGCATTGGTAAAGGCCCATGTTGATGATAAGGCACAAGGTCAAGGAGCATCTGGGTATCTTCTAAGAAAGGAAACCTGGAGCTCAGACCAAAGTCTCAGGAAAAAAACAAAAAACAAAAACAAAACATTGGGCTTAGTTGAAGCTCCCAGGCTTTAGCAGCCAAGAAGGCCCATTAGCACCACCTGGAGGAAGAAATGAGCAATGCACTGGGAACGTTTGCAGACACTTAACCTCCTTGAGTGTTCCTTCACCTCAGTGCCAAAGACACTGAAGTGTGGAAACGTAGCCATGAGGAAGGCACAGTTTGTCACCATGGAGCTTAAACTCCAGGTGAGGGAAAACATGGCACCTCAATGAGGATAGGTATGCTCTGGGAGAGAGGGGCAGATGGGGCTGCTTTTGATGGGCAGTGTATCAGCTTTTCATTGCTGTAACAAAGTAGCTGAGATCTTCACCCTATAAAGAGGAAATACCCATGGTCCTGTGGCTCCATCACTACCGGGCTTACAGCAAGATAGAACATCATGGTGGATGGGTGGGGTTACATGGTGGAGGAAGCTGCTTACCTCAGGCAGCCAGGAATCACAAATACCACCACTACAGCTAGGAACCAACCTTTTGACAGGCATTCCAAGCCCAGACTACAGTGGGGAGCTTAATCCTATGGTAGGGTACATTTGATCAAAGACCCGAATGGAGAAATGGGGGCAGGGGAACCAAGACTGAAGACAGAGCCCAACACTGTGACAGGAACACCATGGGTCAGTTAAAAGGCAAGATTGTACAGCACATCAGAACAGCTTGGAAGGAAAGGGCAGGAGGAGTAGCACTCTCCTGCAGTGGATGTGTGCAGCCAGCTTTCACAGGGGCGGGGCGGGCGTGACTGGTCCCTGAGGATGAATAGAGGCTTTGGGCTTGGTGGATGAGTACAAGTCCCAAACATACCATCTTGTACTGCAGAGGCCAGCAAGCTGGGAACGTCATGCCTTGACTTCCTGGAAACCAGGCTCTGCACAGAACTCACCTTGCCGGCGAGGTGCACAAACACACAACATATAGACAGAAGTGGCAGGAGGCTTTTTTAGCTGCTTTGGCTAATGCTGCTGCAGGATTGTTACACCTCAGACTGCTCCTCAGTGGAGCTCCAGGGGCAGAGTGTGGGAGAGCATCCCCAGCCCTAGGTAGCTCCTCGTCTCCGGGGTGGTGGTGGATCTAGCTGTTCCCTGTGTGTGAGGGTAATTGTGGGAACTCCCGGAAGTACATTCTCCAGCCCGCCAAGGCTTTCCAACTCCCTACTTAAAATTAGTACTTTGGGGGTTCTTTCCCCCATAACTGTTATTTTTGTTGTTATTCCAGAAGTGGTAACAGGCACAAAGCTTAGCTCCATCATGACTAAGTTGTGTTTGAAGGAGATGAAGATGTCGTAGCTTTGGGATATGGTAAACTCCAGTCACCTGACATACAGTCTTCCAGAAGAAAGATCTAGCACCTGCAGTGACAGGCCAGCGCGTCAGGAGTGAGGTCGGATGGCAGAGTGAGAAAACGAAGGACTCCGGGCATATACGGTGGAGCCCTAAATTTTTCCCTTGTAGCCACAAGGCTGAAGTACCAGAAATAAAATGGGGTCACGCGAGGTCTCCTGTGTGACAGGCCAGTGCTTTGTTAAAGCAACAAGATCCTGAAATGGGAACTGGGAATGCTCACTCTGATTTGGGTCAATCCTGTCAACCCTTGCCAGGCGGTGATCATACACACTTTTAATCCCAGCACTTGGGAGGCAGAGGCAGGCGGATCTCTGTGAGTTTGAGGCCAGCCTGGTCTACAGAGTGAGTTCCAGAACAGACTCCATAGCTACCAAGAAATGTCTCTAAGAAATAAAGTCCTGCCATCCCGCTGTCTCCACATAGCTCCTCTCACCGCAGAAGCCGCCTTCCTGATTGTCTTGTGTGGAGACCCTGGAGTCGTTGCCTTGAAAGCGAACGTCCATCCTTGTGCCCCAGCTGTAGCCCTCATCGCTTCCACATCCACAGCTGGGATCAGGGGCTCTGCCTCTGGCAGGTGCAGCAATCAGGACTGAGAGACTGAAGGACCGTGGCACTTGCCAGTGACACTGTCAGTGGCTCTCAGCAGAAACCTGGGCGATGTGTGGATTTGACTCCAAAGGTGTCAGGCTAAGATGAGAGAGGAAAACTGTTGTTGGTTTTGGTTGAACTGGTTAGTATGGACAAAGGGAACCTCTGGATCGGGTCTGTTTACCAACTTTGGCAACTAAGAACAGTTCTTAGCTACCGGCTGGATGAAACTTCTCTTTTTTTAGAGACAAGGTTTCTCTGTGTAACTAGCCCAGGCTATACTAAAACTCACTCTGTAGACCAGGCTGTCCTCAAACTCACAGATTCACCTACCTGTGTCTCCCAAGCTTTGGGACTAAAGAAAGGTGTATGCCACCACCATACTGACTTTTTCTTTCTTTCCATTCTTCTTTCTTTCTCTTTTTCTTTTTTTTTTTTTTTTGACACATTATATAGCACAGACTCACCTCAAATTCACTATGTAGCCAAGTATGACCTTGAACTTATTTTAAAATCAAGCAAAAAATGTTTTTGTTTGTTTGGGTTTGTTTTGGTTTGGTTTGGTTTTTGGGTTTTAAAGACAGGGTTTCTCTGTTTAATAGCCCTGGCCATCTCAGAACTTGCTTTGTAGACCAGACTGGTTTCAAACTCAGAGATCTGCCTGCCTCTGCCTCTGCCTCTTGAGTGCTGAGATTAAAGGCTTGTGTGATGCTCTGGCTGCAAAAATAAAATATATAAAAAATAAGAGGACACGGTTTCCCCAAAAACTGGAGTTACAGACAGTTGTGAACTGTCATATGGGTGCTGGGAATTGAACCTGTGTCCTCTGGAAGAGCAGTCAGTGCTCTTAGCCACTAAGCCATCTCTCCAGCTCCTGCAGAAGGACGCTAGCCGGTGAGAAAACAAAGTATGCAGTGGAGGAGGAACTGAACTCAGCAGTAGCACCTGACCTTACAGCCATGATCCTCCTGCCTCTGCCCCCCCCCCCACGCCCCGTGCTGCTGGAATTACAGAGGACACCACTATACGAGAATTCTGCCATGCTGGGGATGGAACCAGAGCTTCATTATGCCAGACTAGGTACTCTCCATCCCAGACCCTTAGTTTGAATTTCTGTTGTCCAGGTTTTTCTAGAGATTATTCCTTTCCCCGTGGAACTGGAAGTGTTAGGAGTAAAGGAAACACCTGTTTGGATTTTTTTTTAATTGGGCAAACCCAGTTCTTCAGGCATGGAAGCAAGCACTTGCCTACTGAGCTACCTCCCAAGGCTGGGCCTGAAGCCTTAATTAAGGGATGAGACCACTAAGACAATCTCTGACATCAGTAGGCATGGTGTGATCCTGAAGTGACAGAGGCCAAGGGTTATTTTCCTGGGTGGGGGGAGGACTAAAAGTTCTTCTTGGTTTATATAAACAAGACAAAAGACCCAAGATCTAGCCTTTAGAGGCCTGTCTGGATCCAC